GTTATATCTTCAAACATTTCAATATTACTTTTAGACATTGCTGCACAATGAGCTAAAATGTAAACCTGGGATCGAGGGCAATGGCAATGTACTTTTAAAGTATAAGGAGAGTGGTACTTTAGGCTTCTAGAGACTCTCATTGAGGGTGAGTGAATAGTTTGTGAGAAGAATTAGCATGATTGCATCGGCAATCATTTTCATTCTGTAAAATTACTATCTTCTTGTTTATTAGATTAACTTGGGGATGACAATTGAACCCATATTTAATAGTACAAAATATTATTATACAAATATTGGCATGCTACTTTATTTATTGGTATAATTATATAACTTTTTACAAATAATTTATTTTTTATTAATTAAAAACTATACTAAAAAAGTGTCTTAACATAAATTATTATTGTTTTATCCTGTAAATTAGTTTGTTGCATAGCATCTAATGATGGGCCTTCTTTTCTTATTCCCAACTCCCTCCTTTCTTGACTAGATATATTTTCCTGATAATTTTACTTTGTGAACATTCTATCTTTCTAGCAAGGACATGGTTGCATTTTTGGCAACACATATTTTCTAGTATTTGGCAAAACTGACAAAGTATAAATATAGACTTTTGAAGCAAATTAATAATTGCAGAGCTTCCATGACAACGGTTTGTATGTTGTCATGCGTAAAATGGTTGCTTTGGCATATGTTATAATTTGTTCTGCTTTTATTCTACGTCACAGTTGTATTACATTGGCTGCATAGAGCCACTAATTGTAATGATGCGTGAGAAATAGTTCTCTACTTACCTCAGCAACGATGAATTCAGAAAATTTCCCTTCAACTCTGATCCCACGATACTCAAGATTTTATATAATTTTTACTAAGAAAAGTATGCTTTTATAATCAATACTTTTTAGATCACTAATTAATACGACATATGAAATTATTACATTTGTGTTGTTAATTTGTCAACAAACTTGCATGGTAACATAATAATTGAAATGTGCACATGTACGCTTAGGTCTTTCACTAGTCTTTTCTTGCCTCCTCCACAGCTTTGCTTTCAACGTCAGTACCAGCCTCCATAATTGTCCCCGGAGAAATATTGAAATATTTCTTTTAGGAGCAATTATTTTGGAAAGATGATACTCTCATTCGACATTTTTGTATTATGCGAAAAAGGAGAGATATATAAACAAAATTTAAAAAATAATCAATTTTAAGTTTAAATAATTTATTTGTTTACAGTATCTTAACTTATATTCTAAGTTTGATCTTTGTATCCGTCAAGTCTTATTATTATTTATTATTTAAACTTGTATTCTTTCTTATAATATTTTTTTTAACTTTGTCTGTTTATTTTTTTAACCTTTATTTTCTTTGGGTTTGATCAGTTTTTTTTCCCTTAAAATTTTAAGCTTTTTATTTATTTTTTTACCAGATTTTAATACTATATCAAAACTGTATTTAATTTATTGCTAATTCATCGATATAAAACATTATCGTCTTAACAAAGTTTTTTCAATCTTACTCACATTTATATTTATTTCTAAAATACATAAATGAGCCGTAACTTAGGTACTGTAGCTCCGCGAAAGAATCAAGCACATATAACTATCTCTTCTTTTTACTCTTATTAACTAATATTTAATAATTTTTGTCAAGAAGCTAAAAGTAAAAAAAACTTATACTAATATACATTACAAATTATAGAAATTGCATTAAAAACATTTTTAATAAACAGTTATTTTAAATGTTTAAATAATGAATTTAGGACACACCTCTGGTTAATATATATAAATTACATATATCTATTTGACTGGAGTCTTCTAGTTAACAAAAGAGGGGCGGGGCATATGCTAGTCTTCTTAGTTTAGCTATAGGACTCAGGGATGGTTTCAGCTACTGGTACAGGGATGTAACATATAGTCAGCATGCACATTCATTTCGATAAAAGTTAAAATACTCGGTACAAACGTGCTACCAAGGAGACTAGCTATTCGTTGTTGTCGCCATCTGAAATATATGTGCTCTGTTGTATGTATGATAATGGTGATGAAAAAACTCCTACCCCCATCACACATGCTGCTAGTCAATAATAGGGCAACAGCAATATCTTTTTTGAGCGTTTGGAGCTGGCATGCATATCTGTGTCTCAAAACAAATGGTATGGAGACATATATTAGCAACCACGACCATATTTTTGGCCTATAATAAATGACAACATATAAGTACACTTCAATTATGTGGTTGTAGAATACACGCATGTATGCCTATTGTTTTTCCTTGCTGTATTTACCAAGGCTAATCAGCAACTCATTTCCCACGACACAGGCCACTCAATATGAACCTAATCTCCCAAAATGTTATGTTCGCTTAAGGTAGTTGGACGGTGTAACTACATTGACTTAGGAAGATCATCACCCCTATACGTCTGGACAAGTATTATATGTTGCTCTTGTTAATTAAGAGTGTTGATTAAAGAATTAATGAATTAAAATATTAAAACCATACTAAGAATATATTCAAAGTTATAGCAAGAGAGTATTAATGTTAATTTTTAATAAAGGGATTTTTAATTACATACATATATATATATATATATATATATATATATATATATATTCTACTTTTAGGTGTCAATAAAATAATTTATTTATTTAACATTTTTATTTAAATGTCGGTGGTCGGTGGTCGGTGGTCCAAGGTTAACATAAAATTTAAAGTGTCTTGAGAGCCTAAAAGCACACCTAATAAATTTTACGTATCCTCTATCTGTCTATTCGTAAGTGGGCAGAATATAGTGTATTTTACATGGCGTACGTGGCCCCTGAATTTGGGTTTGCATTTATTTAAGTACCTTCTACAATGAACCACCCAAAAGTGTCATCCCCCTAATTGACTCTGGTTAACTTGCCTGCCTCACGGGATTCAGTTTAATACAAATTTGTCTTATTGATCAATTTTAGATTTCCCTATCTGCATTAGATTATGATGAAATAAAAAATTGACAATCAGTAGAATTAAAGAAAGCAAACAAAGGGACAACTTCATTTTCGTGGATACACAGCACTTTCGTAAATTAAATTTAAATGCCTAAAGATGAGCTTTTCATTATTAATTCATCCACAATATATCGAAGCCATGTGTCACAGTAGCCAAATCCAAACCCATTTGAATCTTTATTTATGATTTGTTTTCATTTTCTTCTCCATAATTTTAGTGTCCCTTACATTGACACCGCCCCATCATACCCCTTAAATAGCAGTGTATTTTATTGACAAGTGGACAATCGCTATTTCCTAATGGGCAATTTATGAAATGTGTGTGAAGCTCGGTTGTCGTATGCTGCCACGTGGGTTGCAAATCTACCATTGTTGTCTCCATAAGCAAGTCTCTGTCAGATCTTTCTGCTACTTGTCAATCGGAGATGCCAACCAACTATAAACCCTCAATTATTCATGCATTGCTACAAAAATTATTAGGTGTATTTTTTTCAAACTTTTGACGGGGTACTGTGACCTTCTTCCTATACAACGTATATCTACTGATGGGGTGGTTACTGTCAAATTTCGTGTCTTCCAAGCATTAAACTCCTTTTTTCCTCTAAAATAAGCCTAATACATAACTAAATCTTTGATTCTAAAGGCAAATCCGCGTTTTTAACCTTGATTGATTTTTTTTTGGGGGCGTCTCCCCAAACTGTGCAACTTTAGTGCCTTGCCCTCGAATAAAAGATGAGCTAAAAGAAAACGAGTAAGGTTTAAATAAGACAGTAGTATTTTCTTAGTGTCTATAAGAAAAAGTCATATTTGAAAGTATACGTGCATATTTAATAAGTTTAATATATTTTTTTGAAAAAATAATTATGTTCAAGTTGGATAGAACTATTATTGAGTATTTAGTAATTTTGTTTAAGCTAGATAAGATTAATCTAAGTATTTAATGCAATTACATCTATTAAGACTTGAATTTGAGACCACAAATTAAACTAAAATAACTTCTTACCAATGAATTTACGTATTCAGTGGTTAATGTTTGTATTCATGCTTAATGTATTTTTTTCATTTAGACTCGACTAAAATTTTAATATTTAACTCAATTAAAATATAACAAATATCATCAAATTATACATAATTTATAGATTTGTAGATATGTTATTTGATCATTAATATTTATTTATTTAATAACGTATTATATATAAAAATAAAGTTTTATTAAATTTATTTTTATATGAATATTTTTAAACTTGATTTATTTGATAAATTTTTTAAAGAATATTATATTTTATAAAAATTATTAAATGATATAAATGCTTAAATTTAACATGTAATATTTAACATATTTTAATTCGTGTGTATATGATGTATTTAGTGAAATAAATATTTTTCAAATGAAAGTGAGAGATATGATTTATATCATATAATTATGAATGGATAATCAGGATTATAAAATTTAAAAAGCCACGTGATATCATGTGACTTTTGAATCCTATAAATTCGTGATGAATTCTAAGCAGGAACACATGTATGGCTGTGAGTGAAAATGGGCCATGTCCGTATTTATATATTGTTGCTAGCAGTTAATCAAGCTTAGATGGTAGCTAAAACCCCTGTCTATGCAGATAACTTTTTTTGTTGATGAACATTTGTCGGATCCAATATCTTCTCTAGCTGAAGAAGGTCTATTGAAACTCGAAAGCTTAAACAGCTCGAGGGCCATATAATACTATCCTTTTCTCTTTTAACTTTATGTTATTATATAAATAATTAAGGTGGTAATTGAATTTGAATACAAAATTAATAGGAATATTCCAGCTGACAAGGACATCCCAACTTCTCTATTATTGATTATTAAACTGTCTATATACAAAATAAATTCACCTCATATATTATTTGTCCACCTGTTGTATGAGAGTACATGCAAAATGTACACATAAAGCCAGGGGAGGGAAGGAGTTAAGGCACCCTCCTCATATCAGTTGTCACTTGATTAGTTCGTATCTTTTCTGTTCCTTATAATATTGTTCACTTGGTCATATTTGTTTCCCACCGCATGCCCTACCGTTTGAAACAGAGAAAACAATAAGTCATTTTCTATATTTTCAGACACAATAAATCAGTCTCTCCTATAATATAAGCTTCAAACTTAAGCCATATATTTTCTTCTCACTTGTGCTAGCTAGATTGGCTTACTATCTATATATACACAAGCGCGCGCAGTCACAAAGGTTGGATTAATATTTATCATTTATTAGCATCTACCCTAGAGTTTCTTTAATTAAGAACAAGCTCTAGCATTATCTTTAGCTGTCACAAGGAGAAGCACAAGATGGGAGTACAAGGCACTTTGGAATACTTCTCTGACTTACTCAGCAGCACCAAGAAGAAGAAGAAGAAGCAAACCCAAACTGTAGCTTTGAAAATCAGAATGGACTGTGAAGGTTGTGCACGCAAGGTTAAGCACGTCCTTTCTGGAGTTAAAGGTATTCTTAATTTTCTTCATGATCATTTGAAGGGTGCTGCAGTTATCTCCTTCACTTTATTAACTTGCTATGTTTTGTTATTGGAATATTATTTTGAACAGGAGCTAAAAAGGTAGAAGTGGACTTGAAGCAGCAGAAAGCAACAGTGACTGGATATGTTGAACCAAAGAAAGTGCTTAAAGCTGCTCAATCTACCAAGAAGAAGGTTGAACTGTGGCCGTATGTTCCATACACTATGGTTGCTAACCCTTATGTTTCTCAGGCTTATGATAAGAAGGCACCTCCTAATATGGTGAGGAAGGTGCCTGACACTGCCAACATATCAGAGACAACTGTGGACGACCGCTACATACATATGTTCAGTGATGAAAACCCAAATGCCTGCTTTATCATGTAATTAATTGATTAATGTTTGTGTAGTGAATCACACACTAAAATATATGATAAATAAATATAAAATTAATGGGGTAGTGGTTTTTGACTTTTGTGTAAAATATATGATAGAAAATTTTGCATGACTTTTGCATATGGCTACGATACTGATTGTCATGTTTCAATCTTTCATTATCTTAATCTTAAAGATCGTTTGTTGGGAAGCGGGAGGTCTTAGAAAAGGGTAGACGAAATGAGAGCAAACTTGGGGTATGTCAAGGGACAGCAAATAACGCCATCGTCATTTTCACATTTTCTTGTTGGTGACCTTTTTATCTTATGTTATGTGCGTGGCTTTGTTATGTTGCGTGTTTGGCAGGGCTTTTGGCCTGCCTCTGTCGGTTTTCTCCTCCTCCTTTCAGACAAATCGATCAATTACCATTTCAATGACGTAGAATAATTATAATCAGTGTAAAATGCTTATTTTAATTAACTTGAAAGATTGATTTTGTTGCTCTCGTTTCGAAGGTTGAGCACTTGGGCTAGCAAGTACAAAGCTACCAGTATTGATTACTGTTAGCAATATGAATAATACACTATTTTAAATTTATTTAATATAATTAAATAATTTTTAAAAGATAATTAATTTATAAAATAATAATTTTAATTATATATATTAAAAATGTGTTTTAACAAATGTATTAAAAGCGTTTCTCTTTGAATAACTTTGGTGGGGGCAAATGTAATAGCGGATTACCAATACCGTTTGATACAATAACGAGGTCGTTATATTTTAAATTAGGGTTGGACTTTAAATTGTGTCCTTATTATTTTTACTTTTTTTCTCTGGAGTCGGAACTTACAAAATTTCATCACATATATAATACTATTTTTATGATTTTTTAGATGAATTAAATTTTCAAAAATATAAAATCTTATAGTTGCAAAGTACATTGCACGTTAAATTTTATAAGATTTCGAGTTTGCTTTACTTAATAAAAACTTTTAAATCAATATTTAAATTAATAAAATTTAATATTTATAAAAATTTATTTCTAAAGTAAACTTCTTTATCTTTTTCATTTATTTACAGAGCGAGAGAGAAAGAGAGAAATGTGTTTCTTGAAATGAGTTTTGGTTCTTCCAAATTTTATCATTTTACATGCATGTTTTCCTCTACAAAATAGTTTTTATAACTAACCATTTTAATTTAATAATGCTATTATTTTCTTGAGGAACAAAAATATTGTCAAGTAGTGAAATACTTATGGAAGATAATGTTTTATATACATCCCTTGTGGCTTAAGTCGGATATGTTATATAAAAAAATAATAAAATCCCTCCAAATCCATTGCCCCAACAGGGGTGAGGTTTAGGTACAACTTAAAGAAAGAAAAAGTTGTGACCGACTTTTGACCGGGACATCACTCTTTCTATCCTTTTAACTTCGTTGCACTTTATCTAAAAAAAATTGCATGAAAAAGAAAATATATACAAAAGAAATTAATTAAGTGGATGACCAGATAGGTGTCATGCATGCTCCGATTGCAATATTATATAAAACTTCTTCCAAGCTTTTTTTTTTTTTTTTCCAATTAGAAGTATTCAATAAAATATTTTTTAACAGGCTTAATTAAGTTTTTATTTCTAAAAAATATCCATTTCATTTATTCTTCACATTTAGTCCCTCTAAATATCACATATTTTTTCATCTTATGAGAAAAATTGGAAATTGATATGTTTATGAAGACTAAATAAAAAAATACATCATATATACTATGAAGAAGTAAATGAGATTCTAAATAAACAAAATAATATGTTATTTTACTTTGAATTAAGATTTTTTTATTTGATATTCCAAAATTATATACACAACACACTTTTATTTTGATCTTTAGAGCATAACTCTTTTTTTCTTTAATATTTACATGTTAAATGTATCAAATATAATTATAGGTTACTTTTGAAGGATAAAATAAAGTAAATAGGATTAAGTTCCAGATGTCGCTAAAAGATTATTAATTCTATGACGTAATTATTATATTTTGAATTTAAATCCTTATATATTATTTTCTAAAGACTAAGCAAATATTTCTTAGGATTCAGAGCTATTAGCAAGTTGATTTGAGAAGGAAAAAAAGTCACAATTCAGTTTAGTGTTGCAGAAGAAAACAACAAACACTACTGAAAAGACGTATTGATAAAATCAACTTAGATTGCTTCTAAGATAGATTTTAGGGAGAATCTATATAGCCAAATCTTGTGGTACAGATACACAAAATTGGGAATCTTCTAACGCTGTTGGTGTCACTGTGTCTAAGCTACTTTAAGGGGAGAAAATAAATTAGAATATATTTTTTACATAAAATCTTCAAAAAATTACTACTAAAAAGTCTGTATATACAGACAGATTTATAGATAAAATTTTAAATTATTACAGACAGTTTTTAAAATTACAGATAAATTTAGAAATAGACATAAATCGTCTGTGATATCATTATCGGTAAAAAATTACAGACAGATTTCACAATTTGTCTGTAAATTACAGATAGAAACAGTCATCTATAATTTACAAAAAAATTTGTCTGTAACGTACAGATGAAAAAATTCGTCTGTAATATATTTTACTATTATTAGTATTTTTTATTTATATAGAGTTATTTTTTACTGTTCCTGATTATCACAATTTATAAACATAATAACAACTATAAATTAGGCATCTAAACATTTAAAAATGATTTATAAAATATAAAATTTAAATATTATTACAAAGGAAGACAAAAGCATCCAAATAAATACATTTAAAAATAAAATACAAGTCTTCATCATAAATAATTTGTATGATCATCATCCAAAGGAGCATCATCATCAGTAGACGAGAAGTCGGAAGAGGAATCACTACGACAAAATGAAGATCTGAGAGCGGTTCCGTTTTGAATTAGAGAGCGTTTAGAACTGCTCTAAAATCTTGCGCTATCTGATGTATTATATTTAAGAGAGCAGTTAAAGAATCGCTATCAGATGTTAAGATTGGAGAGCGGTTCCAAGTGAAACCGCTCTTTAATTTATACTTTGGAGAGCGGTTCCACGCGGAACTACTCTCCAAAGTATAGGTGTAAGATTAGAGAGCGGTTCTGCGTGGAACCGCCCTCCAAAGTATAAATTAGAGAGCAGTTCTGCCTGAAACCGCTCTCTAAAGTATAAATTTAGACCGCAAAATTTGAAATTGATTTCTTTGTGAGTTTTCTATTAAAAATAAAAATTTATTATTACTTTTAAATCAAAATTTAGAATTAATTTCTTTGTAATTTTTCTTTATTTTTATCACAAATCAAAATTAAATCTTGAGTTTATATATTTGGTGTTAACCAAACAGTCCACATTTACATAAACGAAACACAAGTAAGCAGAGAAAAAAGAGAACAAATTAATAGGATAATTTTTAACATTAATAGAGAGAAAAAGAAAGAAAGAGAGAATTGATGATTCACCGTTAATAAAGAGAAGAAGAAAGAAAGAGAGAATAAAGAAGTACATACAAAAGATGAAGAGAAAAAAAACTATTTTGTTAGCGTAAAGAAGATGAAGAGAGCAGACTAACACATAATGAAGAGGTACCTACAAATTGGAAAAAAAACTAATTTGTTAGCGAGAGAAGACGAAGAGAGCAGGCTAACAGAGAAGATGAAGAAAACATAAGAGAGCAGAGAATAAACTTACAGTGAAAAAGACCAGTTTTATTAGCTATGAAGCAGAAATGTATTGAGTGTGTTGATTTATAAATGACTTTAATAATATTAGAGAGCGGTTCTTTATTAACCGCTCTCTAATGTGTGACTTTAGAGAGCGGTTAATAGAGAACGCTCTCTAAATATATAATTATAAAGCGGTTTTTATTAACCGCTATCTAAGTTAGTGCTCCAAAAGCTCATTTCTGGCGTAATGAATGATGCATGGAGGTGAAAACCGGTGGTGCTAGAACTGGTGGAGGAGGAAGAAGAGGTGTGGAACTGCTTGCTCTCATGAGCTCAAAATAAGCATGCATCTGCTGCATCTGCATATGTTGTTGCTTCATCTGCTGCTGAACCTCCCTTTGCATTCTCGATGCCACATTCTTCTCTATTTTCTTTGCCCACTTCTTCTTCCATGCACTTTTCTTGCTCTTCCAAATCTTCTTATTCTACTTCTGGAGTTCTTCATTGAGGGCATGGATCTGAGTGCGGACCATGTCCTTCACTTCCTCATGTGCAAGAGAAGGGACATCTCCAGTGACAAATGTAGGGGACATGGAGTCTGCAAAGCGGCCCCCATACCATAAATGCGACCTTTATAAAGGTCACCCACTGTCTGTGACCACAGAGCATCCTCATCTACTGACTCTGGATTCTAAGAAGATGCCTCCTCAAGCCTTTGAACATAATCATCCTACAGTTCAGTTCAGATAATTAGATATTAGTTTGGAGAACTATTTAATAAATCACTAATAATAACATATAATATCAATATATTAATGACTTACATATGTGGCCTAAGATCGTGTATCAACCCACAGGTTTTTATCCTGCCTGTGAGTGTGTGTCTCCTTAAACAACTTTCCATTCGTAGGTGGCCTCTTCAACGACTTCTCCTGCAATTCGAAATAAATCACAATTTCAAATATGAAATTATAGATAGAGTAAACTGAATTTTAAAATCACATACCAAGTTCGCCTTGGTGCCAGCCAAAGTCGTAGACCCACCAGTATGCAGTGACCCCCTTATTAGATGCCCTGTTTGTCTTTTTCTTTACAGAGAGATTTTTAAACTCATCCGTATCCCAATACTCCTGCAAGGCATGAAGAAAGTTGGGTGCTATCCAATCAGCAGTAGAAGAATCCTGACGAGCGTCAATGTACATCTGTCTTAGTCGCTTTGCAGTGCGACTCTTCCAGGCCTTGAAAATCATCTTTTCGTCTTGGGAGGAATGGAGAAGTTGCTCTACAAAAACACAATTCCATTAGAGAAGGTACAAACAGTCATATGTAATTACACTTAGTTAAAATTAATACACTATTATTATCTTCCAATCTTTGAACCATTCCATCTTTGTATCCTTCGGCACCTTTGCAAAACTTGTGTAAGGCACATCAAACATCTTCTTAATCGTATCTGTGACCTGGTGAAGACCTTTCTGTGGTGGTATCCAACTGATAACACAATAAAATAAAACATCAGGACTAACATTCACATAAAATACTCAATGTTTGGCATATTTTGAAGGAAACTTACCAAGTGGACCCATCTCATCTCAAAGTTTGTAAAGATCTCGATGATACCTGGGTCTGTGATGA